CGCCGCCGTCGTCGGGCTCTGCGCTGGGGCGACCGCAGGAGGAGTCGCGGCAGGAGCTGTCGCCGCCATTTTGCAAGAGAAGGGGCGGGGGGCGTCCTCACGGGCAATAATTGGCTGAACTGAATGCCTGTCAGGCAGTGCAACCTTCCTATTGGGGAAAGAGATGTGCCCTCCTGCCATTTATTAACCAATCTGGGGAGAGCGATGAGGGAAAACGCTCTGGTTGGCGGAAGAGTACACCGTCTGTGACTGAAGCACAATCTTTTTCGCACCCTCTTGGGGCCGGAAAGTTTTTCAATTGGGTTCTCGCATCCCCCGCCTCCGTGCCTATCTGCTCTCTCATTGGCTCACATCGCCCTTACCTTCTGTCTGTCAGGACGGGAAGGGTCATTTATTGGCTGTGGCGCTGTAACTCTCCTCGCTGGTTGTGAGGAGAGGGCAGGGTTTATGTCTGTCCTGTATAGCGCCGAGCGCTTGCCCGGCCGGTACGGCCGCGGGGAGCCTTGGCGGTGCCTGGGGCTGAAGGCCCTGCTGGAGGTAGGCTGAGCAGGGCCGGGTGTCCCAGAGCTCCCCATGGCCTTCCAAGCCCCACCGCCTCAGCGGCTCCCGGGTGTTGCAGTAACCCTGGGCTGCCTCAGCTGGCTGTGTTTCTCTGGCACGTCCCCGGTTGCGCTTCAGCTGTGGGTGGCCGCTGAGGCGTTTGGGCGGCGGCAGTGCGGTCCTGGTCACAGCAGCAGGGCCGCTGGGGCCGCCTCGGCCCGCTTGCAGTGAGGGTAGAGGCAGCGGCGCTTCTCCTGCTGCCCTACAGCTGCGTGGTGGTGTGGTAAGCACAGGAGCCTGCAGGCATGGCGCCAAGCTGCAACCACAGTGAAGGAGGTTATCCGGTAGTGCTGCGTGAGGGCTGCGCAGCCCTTAGGGGATTGGACCCGTGAGGCAAGGAAGTGCTGTCGGTCCTGTTTTCCAGGTCTTTGTTGCCAATGAGGCACAGAAGAGTAAGTGGTTGCCAAGTATCACGTAGAGAGCAAATGCTGGTTACCTCTATCCAAGGTTTAATGGTTACCCAACAAATTGACTTCTTGGATATAATTTGCCTGTTACTTGTAGTGCCCTGTGTGTTCGCTCCCAAGCAACAAACCTGTGCAGGTAGGGCAGGTATGGTTGTAAAATGAAGTGTGTATGCCTTTGGTGACTGGTAAGGAGACTGGATTCTTTTGGAGCTTCCTTTTCCCTTTCTTGGCCATATGCTTGCAGCTGTTATCTTAACAGTTGTAGCAACGTAGTAACAGATTTACCTCTAAGTCACTTAGTTCAAAACCTTTTATCACAGTTTTTAATATAAGTTTGACAAACTTTAAGGGAGAACTTGGGTATCATTGAAATGTTTGGGGTTTTTTGGTCTCAAGCTGTTCTCTCCCACAAGTAAACTGTGTGTGTATGCACACACATAAACACTGCAAGATCCAGAAGTCTCACCTCTTGATAAAATGCTTAGTCAAGTGAAACCATGCCAGTCAAACACTGCATCGGTTCTCTGGCACCACATTGTCTTATCAAGTGGCTATTTGAATAATTGAGAACATTTCCAGGTAGTTGTTTCCTAGGCATAGCAGAGAGAAAAATGCAGTGGTGGTTACTACCTCAGGTGCAGCTATCTTTACTCTTTTATAGATCCACTTTGGGCTACTGACACACTCTTTCCCCTGTCTGGGTTACAAGTTAAAGTAATTTTAACACAAAAAATTATTTTATCATGACTAGTGGCTTTTGGAGTTTTTTTTTCTGCTTTGTTAGCTGAGGGGTGAACATCATCAGCTGATAAGCAGTTTCAACTCAAGTCATTGAAGGCAGGCTGCTGAGTATAAAAGGAGCAGCTCAATAATAAGATAATACATTCTGCCCATGTGCTAGCAATTTGCTGCTTTTACATAAATGCGGAACACCTGTCAAAGCTACAAAGGAGAGCTAATGCATGGGAACACGAACAGATTTTATCCCTTCATAAAATCTCTTCCTAGTCTGTGTACCAGTAAAACCTGGATCACCTGGATTCTTAGGCTTTCACCATGTAGCCTTCATTTCTTTTAGGTGTGCCTGGGTCAAATTGCATAAAGCTTTAAAGTATTTCTGTTCCTGGAGCTTTGATGTGTCATTGAGAAGTCTAATGTGTGAGGCATTCTTGTTAGAGAGCAGCCGTTTGATCTCATTCTTGTTTGCATCAAACTCCTTGGTGCTTAATTTGACATAGTCAGCTGCAGATTCAGGTGAAGCAAGCAAGGGTCTTTAAGACCTGCCCATTATACTTTTATGTTGCCACCTTAAAAATTCGTCAGCTTAATATGGAATCACAGTTGTGCTTCAAAACTGACAACTGTGATAACCTTCTTTTAGTATGTTCATGTCAAGCTGCTGGACAGAATGCCAGAGAGTGTATGTAGTGAGTAAAGATGGACAGCCTATATCTCAAAAAGTCAAACATCAGTGGTTGGCTCACACAAAGCCCACTTAACACAGAGATTGTATAAATCTAATGATAAGAAATTCAGTCATGTAATAGTGCCTGGAGCAGATGTGTCCAAGCTACAAAACTGTTTTTCCTTGCTGAAAAAGAGACCTTCATAATTAACATTGTTTCACAAAGTATCAGTTTACTTTTAGAGGAGGGTAGTCACCAGTTACATGTATTAATGGTCCCTGTTGTTGAAAACTTAGTGTCCATCTAGTGAGATGATTAAGATGTTTAGATACTACCCCATTACAGTAAAATCTATCTGCCTAGAGGAGAAACAGAAGACACATTTGCACATGACCACGTATCAGCGTGGTAATTCAGGGTCTTCTGATTTTACGTTTTTCCTTGCGTGGTTTCCCTACATCTGGTTTTGGTGGTGAATATAATTAACCTCCTAGCTCTGCTCTTGTATGATTTCTCTTTACAGTCCTTATGTGTGACTGAGCCATTATTATTGCATTTGCTGTCATGTCAGCTGCATTTTCACAGATGACGTATAATTTCTTTATCAGTAGCGATCTTGCTTGTATTACCGGAAGCAACATCATCTCCTGCTCTAAGGAAAAATATTTCTTACATTGCATTACAGGTAAAATACAATATTTACAATTAATTTGATTCATCATTTCAGCATGTAGTTTTATCTGGTTAGTTTCATGGAATTGAATCTGACATTTTTATTCCATTATCATAATAATGATTTTCTATTGTGCATTCTAAGAAGTTAGTAGAGTCTTTCAGTTATTTCTGCCAAGAGAAAAATCTTTCACTGAACTTAACATTTATTTTCTATAATAATGCTTATTTAGAAAAAAATGAATATCAGGTCTCATTTTCCAAATAATTTTGAGATCAAAGCACAGAAGTCCACTTCCCCGCCAGGAATGTCAAGTCTGTGTCTCCAGCCTTCATTGCACTCACAGAGCTCCCTTTTCAACCCCTCTCACAGTCGAGTTACCAGCACTTTTGTTGTCTACTGGTCATATGTGTTTTTCAGGATCCATATGTTCTGTCTTCTATCCAGGACTTTTATGTGATGTAGTTGTGGGCAATGATTTCAGGGTTTGATTTGTTTGGTTGTTTTGTTTGGTTTGGTTTGGTTCCCCCACCCCCCCATTAAAAAAAAGTAATAGTTCCCTTATTTAGTCTTAATTGGGTGTCTTAGATACTCATCCAGTAATCATGCATTTGGGATTGCCAGTAGATGAAAGACAGCTGTTGGCAGCAGCCAATTCCCAGCCTAATGTGTCAGCTGATTCAGCTTCATCCCTTCAGCAAGAGGGATTCAAGCCCTTCCCTGCTTTTGTGTAATGTTTTATGAGGCTACCTTAGCTGTCAGAGGAACAACACTGACACATGGGACTACTGAGGTAATGCTTAGAGTGAAAATACAAATACTACCTAAAAATAATGAGGCATAGTGTTAATTGCATACCACCACACTGAGAAAAGAACATACCTTCTCTAAAGTTAGAGTGGCAATGGAAGTTACTAGGTGTTCAAAAATAGCACATTAGGGACTGCCATGTGCTTTTTAGTCACTATGTGGAAATATAGAGATCCAAGCTAAAGTAACTTCACAGAATAACTTGCAGTGAAAAGTAACAGAGAGAAATGTACACAGGCTGGCATACTTAGGGCAACATATACTTTTATGGTTAGAGTTTTACACTCATTGAAGAAGGGAAAACAAAGACATGTACTGAACAAAGGATGGCTGTGGAAATAAAAAAATACCCCCAAACCCTGGCAAACCCCAACTGGTACAAGCTAATTGTCTCAGACAAGTGCTAAAAATTTTAATTTGTCAAAATATGTCCCCAAACTATTTATCTAACTGTTCATGATTATTGTATGTACCAGTTCCATTGCTTCTGATGACCAGTAAGAGATCTGTCAAAAAAGAGAGAAGGTAAACTAAACTAAAAAGCCACGGTAAAAGGCATTTTGATCTAAAAGGCAGACTTCTGTTGTTGCAGTACTGTAACCCCTCAGACTTCAGTGGGAATGTATCAGTAATAACTTGGAACAAACTTTTCTTGAAGAGATGGTGGGTTTGGTGGTTTTTTGGGGGGAGGGGGTTGTGGGGTTTTTTGGTTTGGTTGGGGGTTTGGGGGGGGGGTTGTTTTGTTTTGTTTTGTTTTTTTTAATTCAGTGCATACTGTTGGGATCAATGGCTAACTGCTTTTACTCCAAATGCTGGTAGGATATTCCAAGAATTTTCTGTTGTCTCATACCATGCCTCTCCCCTGGTATGTACAATCATGTGTTCACCCTATTTTCCCAGATGAGTTTAGCTGACTGAAAATGCTATAGCCTTAATATTCTATATAAAGGCAAAATTATATTTTATTATGAAGGTCTGTATTACATTTCTATATAGAAAACAGTAACTGAACTCATAAATGCCCTGATGGAATTTATACTGTGA